CTCCCTCCCTCCCTCCCTCCCTCCCTCCCTCCCTCTCTCCCTCCCTATTGTGTTCGGCAGTTTTATACTGTACCTTGTTGGCCAGTGCTCAGAGTGAAGCTGAAAAGGAGAGGATCATGGGAAAGATGGAAGCTGATCCAGAGCTTTCCAAATTCCTCTATCAGCTCCATGAGACTGAGAAAGAAGACCTGATCAGAGTAAGGACTGGTTTAGTCTGTCTTGTCTCATTCCTCTTTCAGTGTTTGATGTAATAAAACATATCTCTGTGTTCTCTGGAATTTGTCAGGGTACAAATTAGAATCAGCACACTCATTGCTGTGGTTGAGATACTGTCTTCCTCTAGTGCCATGGGGACCTGTTTACTACAACCCAGAAAAGCATGTGCGCTTAATGTAGAACACCCTTCCTCCCTGCCTTTAGTGGTTAATTGTAGACTGTCTACTTCTGACTTCTGTCTTTAGAACACTGCATCGTCACTGTATCTGCTATATCTGACTGATTTATTTATTTTTATAGTCTCTGGCAGAAGTGATGTCTTTGGGTTTAGGGACATATGATCTAGCACCCATAAATGAAGCCCAACCCAGAAGGGACTGGAAGGGACAAAAACCCAGGAGAATGATGTAGATGATTGTGCTTTTTCTTTTTCCCTGCTGCAGGAAGAAAGGTCCCGGAGAGAAAGAGTCCGTCAGTCCCGAATGGACACAGATCTGGAAACCATGGATTTGGACCAGGGTGGAGAGGTGAGTGCCGGGCTGTTCCCAGGCTGTGGTGGCTGGGAAGCTTGTATGCTCAGCCTGTTTCTGTTTGACCTGTTTCCAGGCTCTGGCTCCAAGGCAGGTTCTGGATTTGGAGGACCTTGTTTTTACCCAAGGAAGCCACTTCATGGCCAATAAGCGCTGCCAGCTTCCTGATGGGTCCTTCCGACGCCAGCGTAAGGGCTATGAAGAGGTGCATGTGCCTGCTTTGAAGCCCAAGCCCTTTGGCTCAGAAGAAGTGAGTGAATCACCTTTTCAGTTTTCTTTTCAGTTTTCTGCTTCTCTCTTCCAGTTTACCTTTTAGCCATTAACTAAAATGTTATCTTATCTCAAAGATAATTTATTTTAGGAATGGAAACTGTTCCAAAGTTTTCCCATTCCAAAACAAGGAAGCAATAGAGATCTCTCTGGACAAGTTTAGAATGGAGAATTATGAATGGCGATTGCCAGGGAATGAAATCATGGGGAAATCAAAGTGAAATCATAGGAATCTTTTAAGTGGGCAGCCTGCTGAAGGATCCAATAGCATAACGCAGGAGATCTTTCTTCCTTTAGCAACTGCTCCCAGTGGAGAAGCTGCCAAAGTATGCCCAGGCAGGATTTGAGGGCTTCAAAACGCTGAACCGGATTCAGAGTAAACTCTACCGTGCTGCCCTGGAGACAGATGAGAATCTGCTGCTGTGTGCTCCTACTGTAAGTACTGGCCTGCCTCCCTGTTCTCCTGAAATGTTTTGGTGGCAAGTCGAATCCTAACCCTTACGCTAGGCCTTATTCTTTTCAGTTGAGTCAGGGTCTTTCTATGTAGCTTTGGCTGTCCTGGAACTTACAGTGTAGACCAGGCTGCCCTTAAACTCACAGAGATCTACCTGCCTCTGCCTCCCAAGTGCTGGGCTTAAAGGTACAGCATTCCACCTCTTGTTATTCTCTGTTCTGTGATGGACAACCCACTGGGGTAGCGTTACATGGGACAATCCCAGGGTCAGTTCTGTTTTGGTGTTAGCCCATAGCAGATGAACAGGCTTTGTCTCTGACCCCTCTCTAGGGTGCTGGGAAGACCAATGTGGCTCTGATGTGTATGCTCCGAGAGATAGGGAAACACATCAACATGGACGGCACCATCAATGTGGATGATTTCAAGATCATCTACATAGCTCCTATGCGGTCCCTGGTCCAGGAGATGGTGGGCAGTTTTGGAAAGGTAAGTCATAAAACTTCTCCAGAAGATACTGGCTGTAGCTGTCCATGTGATAGGGAGGGGCCTATGCATTACTGCTCTTTTTGCTAGGGAATATTTAGATATTTTTTGCCATTTCCAAGGTTGAATTTGATCCCAAGTAATTTCTGAAGCAAACATGTCTTGGCCTCTCTTACACAGCTCCATCCTTCTTGGATCTTCTCAGTGGAGTCACTGTTTCTTAGTATTTCTGGCAAATGAATATGGTTTATAGCTTGTGGGGTTGTTACTCTAGTTCCACTTTCCTATGTGTTTGCTTTCCTGCTTCATGTAGGGCTCCCATAGATCCTTTGCCTCATCTGCATGAGTGGAATTTAAGTAATAGCTGTTCATCTTTCCTGATTCACCAGATACTTAACTTCTCTATGTCTATAGCACAGAAATGGCTGCCAGGCCCTACAGGCACCATCTGCCATTCTTAGACCTTAGGCAAGCTCCCTGCCACTGAGCTGCACCTCCAGCCTCATCACTCATGTTTGCTGATGAGCCTTTCTTTCCCCAGCGCCTGGCCACATACGGCATTACTGTTGCTGAGCTGACTGGGGATCACCAGCTATGCAAGGAAGAAATCAGTGCCACACAGATCATTGTCTGCACCCCTGAGAAGTGGGACATCATCACACGCAAGGGCGGGGAGCGCACCTACACCCAGCTCGTGCGGCTCATTGTCTTGGTGAGTGGGAGAGTAGTAGGAAGGAGAAAACAACGGTGGTCGGAGTGTTTAGTGCTCTAGTTGGTGATGTGAACCTGGGAGAACGAGGCCTAAACATGAGGCAGACTAAAGTTTCATGCAGTAGCCAGCTTTATTCAGAGAGTCAGGCAATTTATACTCTTGAGGGTTAAGAAAAATCACGTGAGTAAGGTGTTCAATTACAAGGACAAGGCCACACATGGCAAAAACATGTTTTTCCATAGAGGCATATGAATAACAATAGTGATATAAACTCAGTTCTATCCACCACACCTGGGAGGTTGTTCGCATGTTCCAGGAACAAGGATCATAAAAGACTGGTCTTTTTTTCTTGGAACTTTCTCACAAGCACTCATAATTCTCACATGACTATTCTTGGGCTGTGTTATAACAAGTGAGGATTGGCTGTGTTTTCTGGTTCTGTTTCTTAACGCCTTTCTTTTTTTCTTTTTTTCCTTTTTTTGGTTTTCTTTTTTGAGACAGGGTTTCTCTGTATGGCCATGGCTGTTCTGGAATTCTCTTTGTAGACCAGGCTGGCTTCTAACTCACTGAGATTCACCTGCCTCTGCCTCCCAAGCACTGGGATTAAAGGTGTGTGGCACCATGCTTGGCTTTCCTAAAGGTCCCTGTACATGCACTTTCTTCATAAGAGTCATTGTGAGCTTAACTGTTGCCATTACAACCTAAATCTGCATGTAACAAAGGCATGTAAGAAATGCATGGTGTTTGCCACATGCCCCATTGCTCTTTATATCTGATGTTTTTTGGCTTTTCAGGAAAGACTCTCTATGTAGTACTGACTATCTTGGAACTTGTTCTATAGAATATGAAATATTTTGAATCAAATGGAAACAAAAATAATTTTGTCCTTCAAGAGCATTGAAATATTTCTTTATAAATAATCCATTGTCACAAAGGACAAGTAGGAATTGGGACTTTGCATTCCATTTATATAGAAGTATCCACAGGAAGTGGTCTTCGATCTTGGCAGTTGATTTTTTAAAAAATTAATTGCATTTATTTTCTGTGATGTTGCACTGTGTGTGTGTGTGTGTGTGTGTGTGTGTGTGTGTGTGTGTGTGTGTATGTGTGTGTGTAAGTCAGAGGAAAACTTGTGAAAGTCAGTTCCCCTTCCACCATGCATGTTTGATGGATCAAGCTCAAGCCATCAGGGTTGGCAACAAAGTGCCTTTACTCTTTGAGCAGTCTCACTGGCTTCTGAGTGTCAGGAGCAGCCCTGCTTATACACTGAAGGCCTAAAATCAGCAATAGGCCTGATATACATGCCTGCTAGCACCAAGTCTTGGGTCTCTGTGGAAAAACACTGAAACAGATGGCTGGAAATTATTGTAAACAAACAGCTTTGGTAGAAGGCTGCCAAGCCTGGCTACTCATAGTCCTTGTAGATAGGTAACCTTGGTGGATAGTACCAACTTAGATAAAGACAAGTGAATCATAGGTGGAGTCATAGTGATCTGTCCCCTGAACCTTACCCAGCTGACACTCTGTTCTGGAAGATATCTGTACTCCCCCTGAACAATCTGTATTCTCCCTGAACACCCACATTCCTTCGTCATCTCCTTCCCCACGTCCTGCCTTTTTGTGTATATAACCTGTGTGTGCAAAAGTAAAGATGGCAATCTGATCAGACTATAGACAGATCGTCCTTCCTTTCGTCGGCCTGTTCCACACATCTCTTTCAGGTGATCTCCCCGGACTCCTGTTTGATGTCCTGCTGGACCGGACATCTGAGGGTTAATTCTTTAAGCTGTCTATGAAAGCAAGAAAGTAGTTCATGTTCTGTGTTCAAAGTGGAAATTGGCAAAACTATGGTTATAAGTTTTTGTTTTATTGAACACAGTTATATGGATTGGCTTATGTACTTTTTATAGCTATTCTTGTCCCGCTGTAGCTGTGGCGGAATTGAGTATTTGTTACAAGGGTTACATGGCTCATAAGCCTACAGTATTGCATGTGCAGTACCAGACGTTCAGCCCTTTAAGAAAGGTTTGCTACTCCCTTTTTTAGACCCTTGCTACTCCTTGGCTTAAGTTGCCACAGCTGCTCCTAGGGGTGCTAAGTTCCTGGCCTGCCTACACCTTTGAATTCTATTTTTATTTCTATATCATCTCCAGTTCTTCCAGTGCTTACTGTATCTCAGAAGCCCTGCTGTTGGCAATGTAAACTTACTGTAAGTAAGGCCCAGTAGTTTTTGATCTTGATGAAGAAACCTGCCCAAAAGGGAAGGCTTTTTTGCTCTAACCTGGTCATAACCATCATGCATTTGTAAGGAGATTTGTGGTAGAGTGTAGTACTCACTCACAGGTGTTAAGCAGGTTACACTCAGTGTGAATTCTAAAAGCTGTTTTTGTTCTTTAGGACTCCTTGGCTTAAGGTTCCTTCTTTTGTCTTCATTAGGCATCTTAAGGCTGTATACTTGAACAGTGAACTTGTTTCAAGGGAGAAAGTACAGTTTGCATCTTTCTGTTCCTTAGGATGAGATCCATCTTCTACATGACGACAGAGGTCCTGTCTTAGAAGCTTTGGTGGCCAGAGCCATCCGAAACATTGAGATGACCCAAGAAGATGTCCGACTCATTGGTCTCAGTGCTACCCTCCCCAACTATGAAGATGTGGCCACCTTTCTGCGTGTTGACCCTGCTAAGGGCCTCTTCTACTTTGATAACAGGTATAAGAGGAAACTGGAAACTTATTACCAAGGCGGTCTTCCTGTCCCCTACCCTTCTCTAAGGAGTGCACTTTTGAATTTTAGGGTTCCTATGTATATTTTAGAAAGCATTATTGTTTCTAAGTCAATGGAAAGTAACTTTGCCCACAGTGTTCTCTGCCAGAAATCTCATTTGTTTAACTGTTGAACTTCTAGCTTCCGCCCAGTGCCTCTGGAACAGACGTATGTGGGCATCACAGAGAAAAAAGCTATCAAACGTTTCCAGATCATGAATGAAATAGTCTATGAGAAAATAATGGAACATGCTGGAAAAAATCAGGTCTGTTGATGGTTCTTGAGCCTTTCCCATTTTTGACTTAAGCTAATTGACAAGCTAACAGTATGAATCACCAGTGATCAGAAATGACATGAGTTATTACTACAGAACTTGCTTTAAAAGATGGTCAGGAGCTAGGAAAGCCAGCACATGCCTCTAATACCATAGCTTAGGATGCTGAGGCAGGAGGACCTCGAGCCAGCTGGAAGCCAGTTTGGGTTATATAGTAATATCCCACCTCCCACCCCTATCCCCCACCCCCAAAAAATTAGATTAGGAACTTGGGATGAGCATACACATAGCATGTATGAACCCTGGGTTCAGCTTCCATCACTGCATAAGTAGGTGATGGAATACTGTGAACAATCACTCATAAACTGGCCAGTTTATGGGGTGGAGAGATGGCTCAGTGGTTAAGAGCATTGGCTACTCAAAAAAGGACCCAGGTTCCATTCTTAGCTCCCACATAGAAGCTCAGACCAGTCTGTTAACTCCAGGTCCAGGGGATCTGACCTCTCCTGGCCTCTGTGGACATCAGGCACGTATATATTGTACAGACATACATACATACAAAGCATTCACTTCATAAGATAAATAAAAATTAATAATAAATAAATAAACTTGTAACTTAGAAGAATCGGATCATTTCCTGAAAACAGCTATTATTATAGCCTAGATGAAAGATAATCTGAATAGTCCTGTGATCATAAATGATAACTTCATAGTTAATACTCCCCTCCTCCAAATTGGTGGAACTAGAATAATCAGACTGTCTAGAAGGTAGCAGAACTATAGCTAAAAAGTATTAGAACCTAGTGAAATCAGGCCAGTGAGATGATTCTGCAGGTAATGAATGATGCTTGCCCCTAAGACTTGTGATCTGTGTTTGATCCCTAGAACATACTTGGCAGAAGGAGAGAGTTGATCACTACTCTGACACACACAAAATAGATAAATGATTAAACAAAACAAAACCCATAATGTGGGCCATGTTGGTGCATGCCTTTAATCCCAGTTTTTTGAGTTCAAAGCCAGCATGCTGTGCATGAGTTCCAGGCCAGTAGGGATACATAGTAAAACCCTGTCTCTAACACTAGATGAGATAGCATATTTTACGTTATATTATTTATTTGTTGTTTTTTCAAGATTGGGCATCTCTGTGTAGCCCTGGCTGTTCTGGAACTCACTCTGTAGAGCAGATTGGCCTTGAACTCAAAGATCTGCCTCTGCCTCCTGAGGATTAAAGGTGTATGCCACTATTGCCCAATGAATAATTTCATTCATTCATTCATTTGTTCATTCGTTCGTTTTCTTTTTCTCTTGGATATTACTTTGATAAAAATAAGGCAGGAGGTAAGAAGCTATGAATTTCTTTTTCTGGTAAAAAGCACAGGACTTTGTATGATGGGGTAGGACTTTTGGACACTAGATCTTAGGAGAACTGTGTTTCTTATAATTTGAAACTAGTTGCAAAATTACTTCCTAAATATTTTTATAAATAATGTAATAGTTTTGGTATTATCTTGCAAATACACCTTTATTTAGTTTAGACTTGCTAAGGCTCTAAACATATTCTTTTTTTTTTTTTTGGTTTGGTTTTTCGAGACAGGGTTTCTCTGTGTAGTCCTGGCTGTCCTGGAACTCACTCTGTAGACCAGGCTAACCTCGAACTCTCGAACTCAGAAATCCACCTGCCTCTGCCTCCGAAGTGCTGGGATTAAAGGCGGGCGCCACCACCGCCCAGCTAAACATATTCTTAATTGAGGTCTCTGAATCCTGATACACTGTATTTAGATTTATTGTTCAAGGTAGAATTCTAGGGTTAGTTTAGTTTTTTAGCTGTGAGACTATGCCACTATCCTTGGTACATTCCTTCCCCTGTGTATCCTGGGCTGGGCTTGAACTCTGTATAGACAACTAGACTTGAATTTAGCTCTGACCTTGAGTGCAGGAATTATAGCTGGAGTTTCCATGCCCGGCTTCCCTCTGGGTACTGTCGGCCCTATTAGACTTTTTTCCACATTAGCATGTATTTTTGCCATTGACACTTTTTCTAACCTATGGCTTCTGGTTATAGTGGAGCAGCCCCTGCTTCCTGTAGCTGGTGCCTTGGTGCTATGAGAACAGCGGCTGAAGGTGTATCTTTTAGCTATAGCCTGATTCTCCTTAGGTGCTCGTGTTTGTCCACTCTCGCAAAGAAACTGGGAAGACAGCAAGGGCAATCCGTGACATGTGTCTGGAGAAGGATACCTTGGGTCTGTTTCTTCGTGAGGGTTCTGCCTCCACTGAAGTCCTTCGTACAGAAGCAGAGCAGTGCAAAGTAAGAAGGAACCACCTGCTTCTCTGGTGACTGGTTCCTTACTGTTGGGTAGATTCCTTTGGGACCATATGTATCGAGTGCTTATGTTCAGGCAGGTTAAAAGTAATTTTCTTGGGGCTAGGGAGATGACTCCGCAGATAAAGGTGCCTGTCACCAATCCTAAGGGCCTGAGTTCAATCTCTGGGACCCACATAGAGGAAGAAGAGAACTGACTTCCACACACATGCCATTCACAGGCATATATACAAACATAATAATATAAGTTTCTGTTAAAATGACTATGTGGTTATGGGGGCTTTCTTTGACCTTGGAGGAATCCTACCGGGAGACTGGTCTCACTCCGTTTCTCTTCACAGAACTTGGAGCTGAAGGACCTTTTGCCCTATGGCTTTGCTATTCATCATGCAGGCATGACTAGAGTTGACCGAACACTTGTAGAAGATCTTTTTGCTGACAAACATATTCAGGTGAGGAGGGGCAAATGTAGTAGGAACAGGTGATGTGGGCTTTAGAACATCTGAAATGTCAGTAGCTCTGCCCTAAGTGGGATCTCTAACCCTTTTTGTTGTTGTTGTTTTTGTTTTTTGTTTTTGTTTTTTGAGACAGGGTTTCTCTGTATAGCTCTGGCTGTCCTGGAAGTCACTCTGTAGACCAGGCTGGCCTCAAACTCAGAAATCCACCTGCCTCTCTCCTAAGTGCTGGGATTAAAGGCGTGTGGCACTGCCCGGCTTTTGCTTTTTTTTTTTTTTTAAGAGTCATTTATGTATCTTCTTATATGTGTGTGTGTGTGGCTTGCATGAGTTTGTGTGCACCACATGCTTGCAGATGCTCTCAGAGGCCAGAAGAAGGGTCTAGATCCCTTGGAACTGAAGTTACATATTCTTGTGAGCATATTCATATGTGGGTTCTGGGACCTGAAGCCTAGTTCTCTGCAAGAGTAGAACATGCTCCAGCCACTGAGCCACTCTACATCTCTAGACATTTTGAGATCTGGACCAGCTATTCCAAGCTGGAAGGTTGTGATAGTTATGCTCTCCTAATACATTATACACCGCATAAGGGAAGATGGATACTTCATAGAACTCTGCACTGTAATTCACAGGGCCAAGACCACATTTTTTTCCCCCTTCTAGGATGGTAGATTTTGAATGTTTTATAACTGAGTTGAGAAATACAAGTTTAAGCTCTGACTTATGTCTCTGGAACCTTGTTATGTTAATTCTCAAATATGTAAGAGACTAAAGAAACTCTTTCCTTTTTGCTCCAGTGTCACATTGAGTACTGAAACATACATCCGCTCCTGCCTCCAGTTAAACTTAGGAGCCAGACAAGCCAAGGATATGACCCTGCTATGGTGGGATCTGTTGTCCTTATTACACTCCTTTACCTCTGCAGGTTTTAGTTTCCACCGCAACTCTGGCTTGGGGTGTAAATCTTCCTGCACACACAGTCATCATTAAAGGTACCCAAGTATACAGTCCAGAGAAGGGGCGTTGGACAGAGCTGGGAGCACTGGACATTCTGCAGGTACAGAGCCTCTGAGATGATTCTCAATGGGATAAGCATCCTGTGCCTGGGATGCAAGGATGTTGGAAAGATGGCAGTTCAAGGCCAGTTCTAAAGTATGTAACCTGTTGAGTCAAAAGCTCTGCCATAACATTTTCTTTTATTGCTTCTGTGTTAGATGCTGGGCCGTGCTGGACGGCCCCAGTATGACACCAAGGGTGAAGGTATACTCATCACATCTCATGGGGAGCTTCAGTACTACCTCTCCCTCCTCAACCAGCAGCTTCCTATTGAGAGCCAGATGGTATCAAAGCTGCCTGACATGCTCAATGCAGAAATTGTGCTGGGGAACGTCCAGAATGCAAAGGTAGGGAAAACTTTGTTTTCGGAGCTTTGTACTTTCCTTAGTGACTCACGAGACTTGGAGTGACAGGACTCCTGTGAGGATGTTTGGGTCCAGCAGTGTCTTAAGCTGTGGACGACATCTCATGCAGGACAAGCTTCATGGGCTTATGGTAGATAGTTCCTTTTATGTTTAAGATATTTGAAAGGGTTTTTAAAATTGAAATACTGAAAATGTTCAGAAGACATTGTAATGTGTATCCTTGTGCTTAAGAATTAATGTCTAAGCTATCGGTGGTGCTTTTGTTTGGACATGAGCAGGTTGTCATGCTAACCACCATGAGCTGTCTTGCAGGATGCAGTGAACTGGCTGGGCTATGCCTACCTATACATCCGAATGCTCCGGTCCCCTACCCTCTATGGCATTTCTCATGATGACCTCAAGGGAGATCCCTTGCTGGACCAGCGCCGACTTGATCTTGTTCACACTGCTGCCTTGATGCTGGACAAGAACAATCTGGTCAAGTATGACAAGAAGACAGGCAATTTCCAGGTGACTAGCATGTGATTTTTGAGAAAATTTTAGCAAAAGTTTATGTATTGCCTGTCTAATTACCTATTGGGGATTAAACTGTCTTCTTTGAGCTATGAACTTAACTTTCAAATATTTATTTTCCTTAAAATTTTTATTACTTATTTTATGTGTATGAGTGTTTTGTCTGTAGCACATGTCCCCACGGAAGCCAGAATGCCTGGTCCCCACAGAGACCAGAATTGGGTAGTGGCTGCCTGGGACTGGAGATGCTTATGAGCCACCATGTGGGTGTTGGGAATTGAACCACAGGTCAACTGGATGAGCAGCCACCTCTTACTAAACCATCTCTCCAGTTCTTAGGTTTAAAAAATGGTAGTTGAGTTTTCAGAGCTCACGTTGAGGTAGGTCATTCGGCCATTTGGTTTACATGAGCACTAGTTCTCCGTAGGTCATTGTTGTACCATTTTTCTTATTGTGCCAAGTTGCTTGCATTGAGCAGTAGTTGTACCACAAGTTCATCCACATGTCCTCGTGGGACAGTCACTTGATGTTAGAAGTTAGGGGCAGATCTCTGGTCAGCCTTGTACTGAGTCTTCTTTCTTCCTAGGTGACAGAACTTGGACGAATAGCAAGTCACTACTATATCACTAATGATACTGTGCAGACCTACAACCAGCTGCTGAAGCCTACGCTAAGTGAGATCGAGCTTTTCCGAGTGTTCTCCTTGTCCTCAGAGTTCAAGAACATCACTGTAAGAGAGGTGAGCCTATGAGCCTGCCAGGCCAGGAGTTAGGACCCCTGCCAGGCTGCTGGATGGACTCTTTGTTCCTTCATCCTTGCCCTGTGGATCTTCCATGCCCTGTCTTTTCTTGAGGTAGGAGGAGAAGCTAGAGCTGCAGAAGTTGCTGGAGAGGGTGCCCATCCCAGTAAAGGAGAGCATCGAAGAACCCAGTGCTAAGGTAAGCACGTCTTCACTTGGTTTCACACATGGTAACACGTACAATTCTTTCTACTCTTGGGGAGTGTTGGGGGTTGACCTGTTATGTGCTGTACCTAACTGGTCAGACCCCCACTTCCCAATTTTTCTACTCTGCTTCCTTCTCGCATATGTTTTATATGGAATAATAATTATTTAATGTGTAAATCAGAAACTATGGGAGATCTTGTCTGGAACATGTTCCCAGAGCAGAAATGCAATTAATTTCTTTGAGTAGTTAGTCAGTGACTGGCCTTTGCTAGCTCCCTTGTTTCTTTGCAGATCAATGTGCTTCTCCAAGCCTTCATCTCACAGCTGAAACTAGAAGGCTTTGCGCTGATGGCTGACATGGTATACGTGACACAGGTGAGTAGTTGCACTGAGTGATGAGCAGAGTTCAAATAGTTACTGTGCCTTTGTGCTGTGTTCCTCAAAGAAAGGTGGCCTGACACCGCTGGCGGGCCAGCTGCCTATCGCCACTTCAGTTCACACTTTGCTGTGTTGATCTTGAGCATGCAGGAAGGGCAGGCCTTACAGTGCTAAGAGGCTCTGTAGGTCCCTGTAGAGAGAGATCCACAGAGCATGTCACCTTCAAGAAAAGTGACTTCTGCCAGGCGGTGGTGGCGCACACCTTTAATCCCAGCACTTGGGAGGCAGAGGCAGGTGGATCTCTGAGTTCGAGAGTTTGAGGCTAGCCTGGTCTACAGAGTGAGTTCCAGGACAGCCAGGGCTACACAGAGAAACTCTGTCTCAAAAAAAAAAAAAAAAAAAGAAAAGTGACTTCCCACCATAGCTTCATGTTCATAAAAATATGACGAAAATATTTTATTAATTTCTCTGTCTTAATCTAAAAAGGTAGGAGGCAGGAAAAACTCTTGTTTCTGAATCGGTGTGAGTGATTTCATCAGATCTTAAACAGCTCATCAAATTGTGGTAAACAAGACATGGAGATTTCACAACAGGAATATTTGTTTTTCCCCAGTCCGCAGGCCGGTTGATGCGAGCAATCTTCGAAATTGTCCTGAACCGAGGTTGGGCACAGCTTACAGATAAGACCCTGAATCTCTGCAAGATGATTGACAAACGCATGTAAGGGCTCAGTGAGCTAGAGCTGGTTGCTGTGAGCTTGGGCCTCAGTGCATTTGATGTTCAGTCCTAGTGACTGAGATGTGGCATGAACCTAGGTGAATGTTGGGAAGTAGAAGGCCCCTGTAAGAATGTAGGGCTGGGAGAGCAACAGCTGGTATTGACTTTCTGGTCTTCCTGCTGTCAGTTTCAGACATCTTCCTCTAATGGTAGCGTCTGTGTGGTTATTCCAAACTGCTGGCAGCAGTGATGAGAAAAGTGGGGAAGGCAGTTTATTTACAGTACTAGATAAAAAGGTGACAGCTTTATCTCCTTTCTGAATAGGTGGCAGTCCATGTGTCCTCTCCGCCAGTTCCGTAAACTTCCTGAGGAAGTAGTGAAGAAGATTGAGAAGAAGAACTTCCCCTTTGAGCGGCTATATGACTTGAATCATAATGAGATAGGTGCGTGAAGGTCTTGTCCTGTCCCGCAGCCCAGGCATCTTTCTCAGTCAGCCTCCTACTTCCTGTTCCTAGGCCCTGAGCACTGGTACTGTGTTTACATCCTACTATTGTATAAACTCACTCTCAAAATCAGGACTTTGAACCGTTAGTACTGCACTGAGGCTGAAGTGGGGAGCCTGTCCACTGGCATAGAATCTGTTCCTTTCCACAGTTGCCTTGGGCCCTGTTTGCAGATTTGCTGGGCTGGCTGGGCAGCAGCCCCAATGCTCTTATTCCTCATAGGTGAGCTTATTCGAATGCCGAAGATGGGGAAGACCATCCACAAGTATGTCCATCTTTTCCCCAAGTTGGAGTTGTCAGTGCACCTGCAGCCTATTACACGTTCTACACTGAAAGTAGAGCTGACTATCACACCAGATTTCCAGTGGGATGAAAAGGCAAGGCTTGTTGGTCAAAGGGGTGGAGTTGGAGTTACTGAGTCCCCTTCACTGGCTCATCATTATTTCAACCATGCTTGGGTTGGCAGGTCCATGGTTCGTCAGAGGCATTTTGGATTCTGGTGGAGGATGTGGACAGTGAGGTGATTCTGCACCATGAATATTTTCTACTGAAGGCCAAGTATGCCCAGGATGAGCACCTCATCACATTCTTTGTTCCAGTCTTTGAACCACTACCTCCTCAGTACTTCATTCGAGTGGTGTCTGATCGCTGGCTCTGTGAGTGTCTCTTTTCTGCATCTCCTAGAAACATACCTTCCAAAGATGGGAGAGGGATTCTTGCTTTGTTGTAGCCTTATCTCTGTTGAAAGAGTGATACAGATACAAGCTAAGGTCTCCACTGTTCACGAATGAGCTGTGGAGGTCTGCTGGAGGGTTGCTTCCTAGCCTTCCATTTCTTTCCTGACAGCTTGTGAGACCCAGCTGCCTGTCTCCTTCCGGCACCTGATCCTACCAGAGAAGTACCCACCTCCAACTGAACTGTTGGACCTGCAGCCATTGCCTGTATCTGCTCTGAGAAACAGTGCTTTTGAGAGCCTTTACCAAGATAAATTTCCTTTCTTCAATCCCATCCAGACTCAAGGTAAGTGTCTGAATCTCATATATTTGGTTCCTGTGCTTGCCTTTTCTTTTCTTCCTGAGACAGGGTTTCTCTATATAACAGTCCTGGCTATGCTGGAACTCACTCTGTAGACCTGGCTGGCCTTCAACTCAACAGAGATCCACTTGCCTCTGCTTCCTGAGTGCTGGGATTAAAATTGTGCCCTTTCTCCACCCCTCCCTGCCATTGAGGCCTGCCTTTTTAAGGTTACCTAGTGATAAGTGTGTTGTGAAGCCAGCACTTTGCTGCTCTGCATATCTCCCTGAGGAGGGTTAGAAGAGTGAGGTCTTTCCATGTTGCATTGTTATTAGTCATGCTTTGAGGTGTCCTGTCGACTTTGTACTGTGGCCTGATCTCTGAGAGACAAAGATGCTGGATTTCCTTTGCTTGTTCTTTCTTTCTATAAATCTCTAAGAGACCTGAGCTTGATCTCAGACTCTTTCCTTTCCTGCTTTGCAGGAAAAAGGATTGTGAGACACAGCCAGCTGGACCAGTATTTCAGGCTTCTTTGTGTACTGAATAGTGGATTGATTTTGTGGCTCAATCTTCACGAATGATCGTTTTACTCTCCCATCCTCACCCCCATCCCCATGTTTACTCTACACTTTTTGGTATCTAGTGTTTAATACCGTGTACAACAGTGATGATAACGTGTTTGTGGGGGCCCCCACGGGCAGCGGGAAGACCATCTGTGCAGAGTTTGCCATCCTACGGATGCTGCTGCAGAATTCTGAGGGACGCTGTGTCTACATTACCCCTATGGAGGCTCTGGCAGAGCAGGTGTGTAATATGCTGTGGAACTGTAAATTTCCCAGAAGTCACTCCATATATGACTCCAGGTGGAGGTTTTCTCACCTCTGACAGCAGCGTTATCATTTCTGAACATGTGACTTACTGTTCTTCTGTTTCCCTCCCCTGTCTGTCAGGTATACATGGACTGGTATGAGAAGTTTCAGGACAGGCTCAACAAGAAGGTAGTGCTGCTGACCGGAGAGACCAGCACAGACCTGAAGCTCCTGGGCAAAGGCAACATCATCATCAGCACCCCTGAGAAGTGGGACATCCTCTCTCGGAGGTGGAAGCAGCGCAAGAATGTCCAGAACATTAACCTCTTTGTGGTGGATGAGGTCCACCTCATTGGGGGCGAGAATGGGGTATGCTTGGCTTTGTAGCACAGAGAAAGACTCGGCCCCACCTAGTTTATGTTGAGCCTGAAACCAGGGTCTAGGGTCTTCACAAAGATTTCAGCCTATTGCCTTATTTCAAAAGGGTGATCTGAGTTTATATATAATGTTGCTTAGTGAAGATTGTCTCTTTGAGGCAGGGGAACCATAGCTGGGACTGGCAGAGGGGGATCACAAAGGGAAGCTCAGGCAGAGGGTAGGGAGCCTGGGCCTGAAGTGACTCTTTCTTCTTCCCAGCCTGTCTTGGAAGTGATCTGCTCCCGGATGCGCTACATCTCCTCCCAGATTGAACGGCCCATTCGTATTGTGGCACTTAGCTCCTCACTCTCCAATGCCAAGGATGTGGCCCACTGGTTGGGCTGCAGTGCCACCTCCACCTTCAACTTCCACCCTAATGTGCGCCCTGTACCTTTGGAACTGCACATCCAGGTAGGACAGTCTTCATTCCTCCATGACCTAAGGGATCCCTAGTTACCCAGGTCTAACAACCTCAGTGTCTTCCCCCTTTGTCTCCAGGGCTTCAACATCAGTCACACACAGACGCGCCTGCTCTCTATGGCCAAGCCTGTGTACCATGCTATCACCAAACACTCACCTAAGAAGCCTGTCATCGTTTTTGTCCCATCTCGCAAGCAGACCCGTCTCACTGCAATAGACATTCTCACTACCTGTGCAGCAGACATCCAGCGGCAGAGGTAGGTTGTGGTCTAGTTTCTGGGATGAGTGGGTGCATGAAGATCATGTTAAGTGAAGTTGCCCCTGCCCTGGATGTCCTAGGGAGGGCAGGGACTAAGGCTGGGGTCTGTCACAGACTGAAATGCCTCTGACTCGTGCTTTGTTCGTGTTCTGCCAGGTTCTTGCATTGTACCGAGAAGGATCTGATCCCTTACCTGGAGAAGCTGAGTGACAGCACACTCAAAGAAACACTGTTAAATGGGGTGGGCTACCTACATGAAGGGCTGAGCCCCATGGAGAGGCGCCTGGTAGAGCAGCTCTTCAGCTCAGGTAAGAAAACCTCAGAACGCCCAAAGCTATCATGGTTGTATGTGTTAAACTTAAGGATGTGGATGGTATTTCTCTAAGGAATAGAACTCATTTCACAATGCCAGCAGACTAGTATGTGTCTTAGCTCACTAGGTTCCTCTAAAATACTTATGGTGTCATTGGGACAGATATTCCTACCAGCTAGATTAGAAAACAGTCAGGCACAAAAGTTGGTCTCATTTCAGAACTTGGTTTTCTGGAATTGGGCCATTGGCCAGTAGACCTAAGTTCTGTGTGGATACCAGACTGGTGGGTTTAGAGTTTAAGAGATGGCTGTGGATTTGTGATTCTCTCCTGGCTGGTTGCCTCTTGCCTGCTGCCCTTTTTGACCTGGTGGCATTTTATGCATTTTTCACTATTCTGGCACTTGTGGCAGAGCCTTGGTATAGCCAACTCTGCCAGAGTCACTGTCACTCTTTGACTCTGAATCAATCTGGTTTGGATTTGTTTAGGGTAAGTTTGATTTTTTTTTTTTTTTCACCGTGGCCTGAACTAGCCACATTTGGTTTGGTGTTAGCTTTCACCATTAGAGGGCCAGTCCACCATGCAGTACAGGTTTTGCTTTCCCTGGGCTTTGAGTTCTCCTGAATTGCTTTGTTTCTTCTAGGATAGTCTCAGAGCAAAAGGCACCAATATTGTGGTACTGCCTTTCACAACACTTCCCTAGACCTTGTTCCTAGACAGCCTCAGTCTGATACTTGAAATGTGGCATAAGGTTGGCCACTGCCTGCCAGTAAAGCAGATACTTTCTGGGAGCCCTGCCCTCAATCTTCCTTTCCTTTACTCTGCTCAGGGGCTATCCAGGTGGTGGTAGCTTCTCGGAGTCTCTGCTGGGGCATGAATGTTGCTGCTCATCTAGTGATCATCATGGATACTCAGTACTACAATGGCAAGATTCATGCGTGAGTATAGTTGCTATGGGCATTAACAGATGTCCCTCCTAAAGTGAATGCATATCTACAAGCGTAGGTATAGAGAACTAAACACAGGCCAGAGCTCCACTAGAGTAGGGCTAGTCAGATCTCAGGACCTGCTCTGATGTTTGCTTTATAGTCGTTGTACCTTTTTTCAGCAGTTTGGAGAGAGAAGATCTTATATATAGACGAGAGGAAAGGAGGTTGTTGTTAACCCACTCCCATCTTAGGAAAAGTGGGCCAGTCAAGTTCTCATCTTCATCATGACAAAAAGTACAAGATTCAGTGTTTCTCAGAACCTGAATAACTTAACTTTATTGTTTTCCCCAAAAATGTAGATTATTTTGAAGTTAATTTTGTGAGTTTAAAATACCTGAATCTGGATTTTAGATTACTTTTTAACCTGAGAAACACACAGACCTGAAGTTTAACTTCAAGTTTGGTCCTTTAATAGACGTTATTTTGCTTCTGGCCTTAGTTGGGTTTGTGGCTTTGGTTCAAGTTCCTTGAGTAACACATTCATGGCTCTTTCACTCTGAAACTAAGATAATATGTGGTAAGCAAGTGAAATGAATGACTAAGCACACAGGTTTCTGTCCACTCTGGCTGTAGTTTGACCTTATCTCTCTACCTTTGCATCTTCTGTCCCTGTGACTGAAGGCAGGCAGGCCTCCTGACTTGTTTTCCTCATTTTTCTCTAATGCACCAGCTATGTAGATTACCCCATCTACGATGTGCTTCAGATGGTGGGCCATGCCAACCGGCCCCTGCAGGATGACGAGGGACGCTGTGTCATCATGTGTCAGGGCTCTAAAAAGGTCAGTTATAGGAAACTTTGATCTTTTGAATAGATTCTTGAATCTCTTTATTTTAAGATAAACTTTTCTTTTTTTTTTTTTTTTTTTTTTTTTTTTGGTTTTTGGTTTTGGTTTTTTCAAGACAGGGTTTCTCTGTGTAGCCCTGGCTGTCCTGGAACTCACTTGGTAGACCAGGCTGGCCTCGAACTCAGAAATCCGCCTACCTCTGCCTCCCAAGTGCTGGGATTAAAGGCGTGTGCCACCACCGCCCGGCTGAGATAAACGTTTCACTTCTTTCTGCCAGTTACTTTTATGATAAGCTGGAGCCACACAGAATTTTGCTCATTTCTGCCACTGGTGGTGATTCTATGATGCCGTCCATGTCTTCCCACCTGTTAGTTGTCTTTCTTCATGCACTGCTTATTGCTCTATCTATGTAGCTTGGCATGGCCCATTCCTGCTTTGTAGTATATGGTACTGTTTTGTAAATGCTTCTTGTGTTTGGCTGTTCTGTATATCACACAAAGTCCCTTCCCTGCTGGACTGCCCTTGACTCTTTATTACCATGTTGACATTTATTCTTTTTAATGCCTCCCCTCTCCCAATTCACAGGATTTTTTCAAAAAATTTTTATATGAACCATTGCCAGTAGAGTCTCACCTGGACCACTGTATGCATGATCACTTCAATGCTGAGATTGTCACTAAGACCATTGAGAACAAGCAGGATGCTGTGGACTACCTCACCTGGACCTTTCTGTATCGCCGAATGACACAGAACCCCAATTACTACAACCTGCAGGGTTAGTGAACTGAAGAGCACACACTGCCCTCGAGGATTTTTCATATCCCTAGCTAGTCAGTGTCCTGAGACTTCCCTCTTATATTTCCACAGGGATATCCCATCGTCATCTGTCTGACCATCTGTCAGAGCTGGTGGAGCAGACCCTCAGTGACCTGGAACAGTCCAAGTGCATCAGTATTGAGGACGAGATGGATGTGGCCCCTCTGAACCTGGGCATGATTGCTGCCTACTATTACATAAACTACACCACCATCGGTGAGGACCAGCGGTGCACGGCTTCTGCAGTCTGTTGGGATTAGATGTGCTAGCCAGTATTTGTCGGAAAGCAGTGCAGCCTGGGCAGTTGATTCTTGTTATTCTGCTCCTCACAGTGCCCTATCCCCACACTGGCTCTTCTCACAATCCTTTATTTTCTTTCAGAGCTCTTCAGCATGTCTTTGAATGCCAAAACCAAGGTTCGAGGACTTATTGAGATTATCTCCAATGCAGCAGAATATGAGAACATTCCAATCAGGCATCATGAAGACAACCTCCTGCGCCAGGTGAGGGTGTTGGCTTTAGCAGACCATTCAGGAGGGGAAACTTTATCTCATTTTGCACATGGTTTCCTGTCACCAATACCCTCATACATTTCTCATACCACTCTCAACCTCATACATCCTTCCCACACTTCCCTACAATTCGCAATCCTTCCTCAGAGTCTGGCTGGGCCACATGGTGTGTTTGGCCTGAATGGATCTCAGGTCGGGTCCTCTGTTTATCACAGGCTCTTTTTCTTTCCCAATTCTAGTTGGCTCAGAAGGTCCCTCACAAGCTGAATAACCCCAAGTTCAATGATCCTCATGTGAAGACTAACCTGCTGCTGCAGGCTCACCTATCCCGCATGCAGCTGAGTGCTGAACTACAGTCAGACACAGAAGAGATCCTTAGCAAGGTAGCGTGGGTGGGGTTTGAAGGCCCACTGGCCAGTGGGTGCCCGGAAGACTGGGTTCCCAGCCTACCTGCTCTTACACTCCCTCTTCATGCAGGCAATCCGGCTCATTCAGGCCTGTGTGGATGTACTCTCCAGCAATGGGTGGCTTAGCCCTGCTCTAGCAGCCATGGAACTGGCTCAGATGGTCACCCAAGCCATGTGGTCTAAGGACTCTTACCTGAAGCAGCTGCCACACTTCACCTCAGAGCATATCAAACGTTGCACAGATAAGGTGAGCTAAGACCTGGAGTGCTGGGTGATCAGCTTCAGAACATTGGTCCTAATCTGCGGGTGGACTGTGGGCAGCAAATATTAGCAAGAGTAACCGGTTCCTCTGAGGGAGTTCCATCTGAATCGCAATGCTGAGAGGTGCCAGAAGTGGTCTGCATTCTTTCTAATGCTGTTCTTAGATGACTTTGGCAGTGTGGGAAGTAAGATGAGCAGTTCTTTGGAGCTAGTGTTACTTGCTTGTGGCCTATATTCTCTGCTCTCCTGACCTCTGTCTGCATACCTCCTGTAGGGAGTGGAGAGTGTCTTTGACATCATGGAGATGGAGGATGAAGAGCGGAATGCATTGCTTCAGTTGACTGACAGCCAGATCGCAGATGTGGCCCGCTTCTGTAACCGCTACCCGAATATTGAACTGTCCTATGAAGTGGTGGATAAAGACAGCATCCGCAGGTGAGTAGCCAGTGCTGAGGGAGTCCTGCCCTGGGTTCGCTGCCCACAGCCACAGTGCTCACATACTGCTTTGTTTTCAGTGGCGGGCCAGTCGTGGTGCTAGTGCAACTGGAGCGAGAGGAGGAAGTCACGGGCCCTGTTATTGCACCTCTCTTCCCACAGGTATGTCCTGGTAGCTGGCTTTGCCATGAGTCTGTTTGAGGCTTTGTTAACTGGCTAGGTCTTTCACATGAGGGGAAGGTAGTCTAGAGGTAGTGAACTCATAAGGCTTAGTATTAATCTTGGAACCATGGATTATATTTCTTGTTTGTTTTGAAATACTTTAGATAGCTTGTTGTTAACATCAGGCAATGTTAATATCTCTCTGACTTTTAAGATACATTTATCTACAAATGGCTCCAGGACTCTTGGATTTTTCTAGTCGGTCTTTTCTCAACTACACTTCACTCTGGTTCTAGTTGCAGTTTAAATGAACAGAAGGAAATCTCATCTTCTTTATGTGGGAGAATTGAAAGTTGGGTACAAATGCTAGATAAACTTCATGTACTTCTATAGACAAGATATTCAAGTTCCTAAGGAAAGTGCCACTGGGGTACATGGACTCTACTGTGGCCAACAAAGAGGGCTTCTCCAGAGTGACAAGATGTCAGAAGAGGCTCCACAAGCTTGTTGTGTTACAGGTTCATCTTCATTTCAAGATTTCAGCTAGCTTGCCTTGTACATAAGTTTCTTAAGAACTTGAAGTTTGCCGGGCGGTGGTGGCGCACGCCTTTAATCCCAGCACTTGGGAGGCAGAGGCAGGCGGATTTCTGAGTTCGAGAGTTCGAGGCTAGCCTGGTCTACAAGAGTGAGTTCCAGGACAGCCAGGGCTACTCAGAGAAACCCTGTCTCGAAAAACCAAAAAAAAAAAAAGAACTTGAAGCTTATATGCTTCAAAGCTAAATTTCTAATAATGTCTTAGATTCAGTGACAAGCATTAAATAAAAAGGTGCCCCGGGTTATGGAAATGAGGTAGAACTAGAAAATTAGTCTATGTATTTGAAGACTAAGTCCTTTGGGGACATCTTGAGATTGCTTAAAAACTCTTTAAGGTGGGCTGGTGAGACGGTTCAGTCGTTAGGAACACTGACTGTTCTTCCAGGGGTTCTGAGTTCAATTCCCAGCAACTACATGGTAGCTCATAACCAACTTCTGGCATGTAGGTGTACATGTGGACAGAGCACTCCTACATTTAAAAAAAAAAACCGTTTCAAGTTGTTTCAGCAACTTTGGAGTTTTTTTTTTTTCCAATTTGTTTGTTTGTTTGTTTTTTGAGACAGGGTTTCTCTGTGTAGCCCTGGCTGTCCTGGAACTCACTCTGTAGACCAGGCTGGCCTCGAACTCAGAAATCTGCCTGCCTCTGCCTCCCAAGTGCTGGGATTAAAGGCATGCGACACCACTGATCTGAGTTGTTGCGGTATTTCATAAGCACTTTCACAGCTGCATGTGGCCATCAGTGTTTACATACTCAAGTTGTTGGGTTTTGGTCCCTGTAGAAACGTGAAGAGGGCTGGTGGGTTGTGATTGGAGACGCCAAGTCCAATAGCCTCATCTCCATCAAGAGGCTGACCCTGCAGCAGAAAGCCAAGGTGAGTGTATGCAATCACCCCTGTATCTATCCCTGGGGTGGCACAGAGGGATTGCCTCCTCCCAGGTCCCCACTAACCTGTCTTCTGCCTGTTCTATCTAGGTGAAGCTAGACTTTGTGGCCCCAGCCACAGGTGGCCACAACTATACCCTGTACTTCATGAGTGACGCATACATGGGATGTGACCAGGAGTATAAATTCAGTGTGGATGTGAAAGAAGCTGAGACAGACAGTGATTCAGATTGAGTCTGAGACAGTTCAGGAGGAACTGGTTTTGGAGACCAGGTCTGTCAGCCTGAGGTTTGGCCATTCAGGCTGCTGCTGTCCCCAGTCCACATCCAGTTACTTTCCTATTTTGGACCTTAGTTCAGGTCTGGGTCCAGTATTTTTAAGTGTCATGTCAAGCATGAACTGTATAATATTTGGAGGCATGTTTTTTTAGTTCCTTGAGTCAGACATTCTAATAAATAATTTGACCTCAGCCTCTTTTATAAATGTTTGAGTGATGGCAAAGTTAGTGTCATAGCAGGAGCTGACTCTTATCTTGGCCAGAGACCAACAGGTAGGACTCCTCTTGATCTGTGTTGTGAAATTCTGTAGCCTTCCTTCCCAGGAGGCAGCACTAGGGTAGTTAAGATACACCAGACAGATTCGACTCTAGTCTCCTTAAAACGGACTATCATGCTACTTCAAGTGTACGCTTTCTGTTCTTTGGGACTGTGTGAACAACCTGAACAACTCTGAAAGGTGGTTCATTTTCCCCTAGGCCGGCCGTTTTAATAAACAATGGTCTCAAGACCCCATTCCCCTTCAGAAAACTTAAAAGCACAGCCCCAAAAGCTTTTATTACCTAGTATTCATTGATACTTGTTAACATTAAAAATTAAGGCAGTTTGTTAAAAAAAAAAAAACTTCATTAACATAATATAGGAAAAAATAAATTTTGGGAGAAGAGTAGCATGATACAGTGTTACAATCACTTTACACATAGCTTAATAGAAGCCAGTTAGGACCTTTAGCTATGTCTGTGCTCAGTCTGTTGTGTGGCTGAGCTGAGCATGTCAACTTCAGGGTTGGGATAGAAGAGTTTTCAGATAATTGGCTCTACTATATGTGGAAGTTTCCTAAAGGCAATGCCGGCTCTTGAGCTGTACCCATGCCATCTTGTACTATTGTATTAAACCCACTGCCCCATCTTAGAGTCACTATCTGAATGATTTTGTAACGCCCACTGTATTGGTCATTTCAACAATGACCCACAAAATTCCACAGATCTCAAAATATCTATGCATTTGCTGATTTCATTACCACTAAAGTTTATAGCAACACAAGTTTTCGGAAATTCCAATTTTGTCTTTAAACATTTACCATCAGCAGTGAACACTATCAGTGAAAGGTTCAGTATGTTCATTTTTTAGGAACACAGTTAAATATACAAGCCTAAATGTTAATTTTCTAGTTCTGATTTTAAAAAGGCATGCCATGAATAGCTAATTTGGCTTGTAGCAACTGTCCAACTTTTTCAAGACCACCTTCATTACAGAAGGGCTGGATGGCATTTTCTCATTTGTCAGTATCAGAAGTGTTTTCAATGGTCAATGTTTAGTCATTGTTGTTGTTTGAGTGAAGCTGGCTCCATTCTCACTGTGGCCACAAGATAGTGAAGACAGATAGCTACTTAACTGGTGCCATTCCTTGATCATGTTACAGTGTTGACCCTGAAAGGATCCTAAGATTCCCAGGAATCTGCAGATCACTAGTCACCACTGCTCTGGATACTGCCTCCACTGTCTTTGCAAAAATCTAAGGTCACAATTGTACAGTGTAAACAAGTGAAGGCTCCAGTTTTGGAGCCAACTCACACCCAAACCCACAAACATTTCTCAGTGTTTTGCCCAATCAGGCTAATCAGACATCTTAACTACTTTCCACCCTGAAAAACACTACAGATTTGGCAGCACACACACATGCTATTGTCTAAGGTTTTTGTTTTTTTGTTTTTTAAAATGGTCACTGTCTCCCTAGCTGTCCTGGAACTCACTTTGTAGATCAGGCTCCTCTGCCTCCTGAGTGTTGGACTAGAAGGTGTGTACCAACACACCAGTCTGCTGTTGTCTTTTAGAGGGCCTCAAGCTATTGTCTTAATGTTTTCTGTCCCTCACTGAAAACCAATTCTTTCTTTATAAGGGTTCATTTCTTTTTATATCTTCAGATTCCCTCAGCATAATGCCTCAAGAGGCATGTGAGGGTTTCTGAGGAAAAGCAGAGGTGTCCTTTTACTATGAACAAACTTAAATTTTAGGGGGGAAATTCCTCTAGTTTTGAATGTCTTTGTTTTTTCAGGAAGGGTCTCATATCTCAGGCTGGCTTCAAACTTACTATCCAGCCAAGGATAATCCATCTTTGCTGATTGAGTGCTAGGAAAACACTACAGCTAGCTTGCATGTCTTAAATGCAAGGACTACTCTAGAATTCGGAAGATGGAACATTCCAAATAGTTATCAATGATAAGAAATGATAAATGACCTTATAAGACAGAAGTGGAGCACAGATGGGTTATTTCTGTAAAGCTCACAATTTCAAAAGCTCTCATTCATATATGTATTTATATACTGATTATAAATATATTTACCCCCAAAATGTAACATTATGCCCTAAATCAAGCAAAACTTTAATACAATATACTGCTGTTCCGTGGCTCTGTCCAATGGCTTCCTCATATCAAGGAAGAGAAACAGCGAATGGTCCTGAGCTAAATGAAGGTCAAGGATGCTTCAGGTCTTCTGGATGACTAGGAATAGTCTTAGGACATTTTCTGTGAGAATCAAGACTCCCAAGTCAAGCCATAGCTCAGAGACCTGCAGGTTGGTGATACTCCCAGAAGGCTACTTCCCCATCATCACTACAAGAAGCCAGGAGCCCTGGCTCCTTGGGATTCCAAGCCACACAGTTGACATCCTGGGAATGGGCCTGACGAAGATGGGCTGTCAGAGAGAAGGTAGGCTGCTGTGGGTCTGAGCCTGGATCTTCTTCAAACACTCGGATGGCATCATCTCCACAAGCTGTAGCCAGGGCCCCTGTCAGCTGACACCTAAGAGAGGAACATACATGTCAGGGGGTTAGCAGATGACACCTGCCTCTCCAACCTGGAAAATTAGAAGTGTTCAACAGTCCCTGGCCTAGTTTCTTTCTAAACCTCAGGCCTCAGCTAAGTGTCTTAGAAAAGCTTTCCTAAAAGCTACCACATCAACAAAGGCCTTCCCTCCTAATCCCACCTGTTTACTCCAGCTACAGATAAGACCGAGTCATTTTTCCCCGCCCGGCATATGCAGTCAGTTGACCATGCCACAGCATCCCTAGCTACCTTCCTTCCTTCCTTCCTTTCTTTAAAAGATGTATTTAATGTATGAGTGTTCTATCTGCATGTCAGAAGAGGCATCAGATCTCATTACAGATGGTTATGGGCCACCATGTGGTTGCTGAGAATTGAACTCAGGACCTCTGGAAGAACAGCCAGTGCTCTTAACTGCTGAGCTATCTCTCCAATCTCCCTTAATCTCCTTTTAACACTGATATTAACAAGTTTCAACATAACTTAATCCTCTTAAAGTCAAGAATTTTATATGCACTGAAGATTCCCCCACTACCCGTCATTGCATAAAAACTTTTGAACCTGAAATGTTCAACTGCCTATTCATTTTAGTAAATTATAAAAGCAGCAAAAATTCCAATTGTCTAGCAATGAATGTTCGAGTTTGTTTTTTAAGATTTTTTTTTTTTGTTATTATAGGCTTGTTTGTATTCTATATGTATAGGTGTTTTTGCCTATATGTATGTCTGTGTACCAGGTGTATGTAGTGCCCACTGAGGCTGAAAGGTTGTCATATCCCCTGGAAATGGAGTTACAGATGACTGTTAGGTGCCATGCGGGTGCTGGAAGAGTAGCCAGTGCTCTTAACTGCTAAGGCATATATTTCCAGCTTCAAATAAGTTTAAGTAGTTAAAACACCTACCAAAAAAAAAAAAAAAAGACCAAAAGTAAATTTTAGTTTTACCATAGAAAATGTCATAAACTTATCTTTTATTTAATAGGGGTGTGTGTGTGTTGATTTTATATGAAGTCAAAAATTCTTGAGTCCATTTTCTTTGTTTTGTTGTTCTTGTTTTTCTGAGACAGAATTTATCTGTGTAGCCCTGGCTGTCCTAGAACTTGATCTGTAGACCAGGCTGGCCTCGAACTTAGAGACCTGTCAGCCTCTGCCTCCCATTGAGTCCATTTTCATGGGATAGATACTCCCAAATGTCTGCTATAAATAAAGCTTGAATATGCAACAATTTTTTTTTCACGGTTTGGAATTATTTCTAAGATCCAAGACTCAGGTCTGGAGTCATCTCTGACCTCCTCTTGTCTAAGAATGGGCTAGCTTTTCTAGTTTCAGTAAGAGTCAGTTACCAAACCACAAAACTCCCTAGTCACAAATGCACATATTCAACGGTCATCTAAGGATGGTCCAAAGGTATGTGAATCCTAAGGGCTGTGCTGCCAAAGCCTGGGATCTTATTCCAGAAACAGTGTTAGATATAGTCAACTTCCTGCTCCTAGAACCACAGGCCAGACAGTTACAAGCCAGCATGGGAATTTTAATATGGAGAAATGCAGCAGAGGCCATGCCATCTCTAAAGTCCCCGCTATGGGGATGGGATCAAGTCTTACCAAGCAACGTCGTAGATGGTCCTGGTGTGGAAGCCCGATAGAGTGCAGATACATTTCCAGCTGGGGTCAGAGCCACTGCATGCCACCCCTGTGTGACAGACTTTTCTTAAACCCAAGGCATCCTATAGCTTGAGTACCTCTACCATTACAAAGGAGACCGTGACATGCCTGTCCTCATCCCCTTGCCAATCAATCAGAGCCCTTGTACCAACTGTGTTCTCACTCTGCTTATCTGCTTTACACACTGGAGCCACTCAAGACTTCGGAGAAGAAAGTATCTGTGTTCCACTGCAGGCCAGATCTCACCAGTTAAGCTCCTTTTTAAGGCCACCCACTAGCTAACCCAGCCTCATCAGCTTTACTCCTCCCTTCCTTGCCTGAGCCTGTCTTGCTTCAAGAAATCCCATTCTTCACATTCAGTTTATATATTCCCACCATCAGCCGCTCATCAACTCATACTGTTGGCTGTTTGTTTTTTGAGTCAGGGTCTCACTATGCAGCTCTGGAACTCAGGTTGGCCTTAGTCTCCAAGTACTAAGATTAAAGGCATGCACCACCATTGCCAGCTTTTTGTTTTTATTTTTTGCAATTTTTTTAGAGATAGAGTCTCTCAGTGTAGCCTCCCCACCATGTCCTAGACCTCACCATGTAGACCAGGCTGGCCTCAAACTCAGTCACCTGCCTCCTGTTCCACAAAGCTATCCCTAGTTCTTTCAGTGCTTCTCTGGAGACTAACAAACTGAATCCAATTTGTGATTCATGACAGACTTATCTTTTAGATCATATATCTGGCAAACTAAAAAACTCTACGGAAAGGAGTCTCCTTTTACTCCCAGGCCCTCACCTTGTTCATTGCCTGGTAGATACTGGCGCCAGATGCGCACAGTTCGGTCATCACTGCAAGATGCCAGACGCTGGCCGCTGGGATCAAAGGCTATGCTCCATACAGTGGACTCATGACCTTCAAGGGTGGCACAGCAGACCCAGTCATCCCCTTCTTCCTGGTATAGCTTCACAGTGTCATCATAGCTAGCAGAAGCTAAAAGCTGAAAGAGTGAAAAAGGAGATCCAGTATTTGTCAGTATGGTCCAGGAGGTGCCTATGGTTTGACTATGCTTGGCTCAGAGAGTGGCACTATTAGGAGGTGTGGCCTTGTTGGAGGAAGTGTGTCACTTTGCAGGTAGACTTTGAGACCCTCTCCTAGCAGCCTCTCTTGGTTGCCTTCAGATCAAGATGCAGAACTCTCAGCTCTCTCTCTAGTACCATGGCTGCCTGCATGTTGCCATGCTTCCTGCTATGATGAAAGTAGACCGAAGCTCTGAACTGTAAGCCAGCCTCAATTAAATGTTTCCCTTTATAAGAGTTGCCTTGGTCATGGTGTCTCTTCACAGCAATAAAACCCAAACTAAGACACAATGGTTACAATATCAAACCCTGTCAGAGCAGGACAGTCTCTGAGATCCCTATAAAAATGAGGGTAGTTTTGAAGAATGGAGGCAGGCTGGGCACAAACCTCCACACCAGGTTCTTTCCTACCTTGTTTCACTCTTACCTCCTGGCTTGGGTGCCAAACCACATGCTTAACATCCTGTGTATGAGAGTTGAGGACACTGACACATTCATACTCATCCTCTTCATCAACTGTGGGAGAAAAAGTTAGACTCAGAGGTGACCTGTCAGGGACAAAGCTGAAAGTTAGTAAGCTGGTTTTCTGCTGTACCCAGAGGCACCTGGACTCACCTTCCCAGACCCACACACTCTTATCTCTGCTGCAGGTAGCCAAGAGGTTGCCAGATGGGGCCCAAGCCACTGACTTGACCTCATTTTCATGACCCTCAAGAGTGGTCACACACTGGAAAGGGAAAACATTGTGAGTTAATGGCAGCTAAGAGTCCTAGGCCCTAGTAAAATATCTAAGATAGCAATTTTGTTGTTGTTTGAAAAAGGGTCTCATTCTATAGCCCAGGATGACCTTAGTGGACTTACAGAAATCCTCCTGTTTCAGTGTCCCAAATGCTGGGATTACAGTCATGAACTACCATACTCAGCAAGTGTAAAAACTTGTAAAGGCTGTAACTAATAAGCCCAACTGGTTCAGGTTGACCAAGCCCTGGGTGCAAACAGGTAATAATCCGCTCCCATCCAGCTTAGTTACCTCAAAGTCATCCTGGTTCTTCTTCCAAATGCAAGTGGTAGCATCAAAGCTGGCAGATGCCAAGTAATTTCCACACGGGGACCAGGCAACTTTCCTAACGGTGCGCTGATGGCCTTCAGAAAGGACAGACTTGCAAATCCAGCTGTCACCTGCAAGCAGAGAACGGGCTAGGTTTTGGAGCATCATCAATGCCATTCAGTAACTGGTACTAAAAGTGGGCCCCTGTTGCGGGGCCAAAGTCAGTCACCATTATTACAACGATGCAATCGACTGCTTCCTCTGGAAGGGGTCCTAAAACTGTTAAACTGCTCTTCAGACTTATTTTTCTACCTCAGCAAATATTCCAGTTCCCGCAACAATCCCAGCCTGTCTGTTGACGTTTGCACACTCCTTCCCCCGACACTTTTCAGAGTAGCGTTTTCCTCGGCACCAGGGCCACAAAGCCAAGCCATCCTTACCCTCGGTGCCCCAGATGCGAATTTTACGGTCGCCTCCGCATGAGGCCAACAAGGTCCCCGTGGGGTTCCAGGCCAGGAACCAGCATCGGGAATCCGGGTGCGCGGGGACGCGGCTCTGCAGTACCAGCGAATCCTTCATGGTAACTGCTTTAGGGTGAGGAAGGGGGTTGGCGAGAGAAGCAACACGTCAAACGCGCTGGGCACTATAGGACCCCGAGACCGTCAGATGCACAGCTTCTGCAAAATATGTCGCCCTAGGAATTGACGTGCCCGCTGTTGTTGCCGCGCGACCTTCTGGGACTTGTAGTCACTCTCCTCTTCCTCCGTAACTGGAAGCCGCGCGGGACAGTCCGGAACTACCAGTCCCTTGATGCCCTGCGCTAGAACAGGCGGCGTGCGCACATAGTGAGGCGCAGGGAGGGCAGGAGAAGGAGGAGGCGGGGGTGGGGTGGGGTTGGAGGAAGCCGGAAGTGCATCGGCCAGGGTCCGTCTGGGCGTTGCGGGATTGGGGCCTGGGATCGCTTGGCCCGGGCAGCTAAGACGCCTGTGACCGGGTGGAGCGGCGCCATCCCAGCCCTGAGGCCTGCTGACCGGTGAGGAGCAGGGGCTAGAGTAGGGAGGGTTACTGTGGCTTAAGTCGCACCTCAAAGTGCGGATTCCCGATCTCGGAGGCCCAGCCGCATCCTCCGACCCTCAGCACCCCTCTGTCTGATAGCCCGGGTCCAAGTCTCCTCCGGTCTCCTTGCCATTAGCCAACCCCCCAGTACCTCCGCCCATTCATCCGGGCATGTCCACAGCCTATGTAGTCCTCTGCTGTCTCCGAGCCCTGATCCAGCACCCCTCATCCAGAGCCCTCGGTCCCCGCCCCCCGAATTCCCGCAGTCCTTTAGTCTGTGCTCAGCCCTGGGTCCCACCCCGCAGTCTCTAGTGCGGGCCCTGACAGCTGCGGGCCAGCCGCCCATTGCATTGCTCTCCACCCGGGTACAGACAGGCTCTGCGCGCCCCGCTGAGGTCGGCGGCCACCACCAGCGACCGCAGAGCTACAGCGGGCAGCCCCGGGCATGTATGCCCCTGGAGGCGCCGGGCTGCCGGGAGGGCGCCGGCGGAGAAGCCCGGGAAGCAGCGCTCTTCCCAAGCAGCCGGAACGGAGTTTGGCTTCTGCCCTGCCTGGCGCCCTGTCCATCACGGCGCTGTGCACTGCCCTCGCGGAGCCTGCTTGGTTGCACATCCATGGAGGCACCTGTTCCCGCCAGGAGCTGGGGGTCTCAGACGTGCTGGGCTATGTGAACCCGGATCTGCTAAAAGGTGAGAGCGCTGAGCTCCTGCTCTCCTGGCTTGAGGGGCGGTGCAGAACAGATATGGGGCTGCCTGAAGTATACATAACCAGAAGCAGTCATTAGTCAAAGGAAACAGCCCCATTCTTTCGTGGTGTTCATGCCCACCAGGTGGCTCTGTTTGGGGGTCTAGCCCCTCATTAATTTTGATGTTATTCAGCCAGGCACCTACTCCTCACTGTCATGCTAATCCAGACTGTTGCTATTTTAGGTTTCTGCCAGAGGTAGGTAGAAGAAAATGGGTGTTTGTCAGGTATCACAATTAGCCACCCCTTTCTAACAGACATGTGAGATGCAGAAAAGTTGTTTGGGGTAGCTTGATTGATGGAGAAATCAGAACAGTTAATGTGACTAATTGTAAAAGACATTTTAGTATTCTATGATCATTGGAATTACAATAGAGGGGACTTATGGCATCCCAGGTCATCAGATGTCAGTTCTTTTAACACTCTCAACAGTTGGAATTTGGTTTTCCATGCCTTTAGGTATACCTGATTGAGACGGTTGCTTTGTTCATCAACGGATTTCCCAGACCAGCAGGCAGAAGAAAGCATCTGATCTGTTTATTGGATGAGAATAGGAGTCTAGAGCTTGGAGGAGGGCCTGACTCAGGAGCCTCATAGCTTCTCCTCGGTTTCTAGGAGTGAGGAGAAAGGCTGTACAGTGTGAAAGCAGAAATGTACTTCCTGATTTTTAACCTAAAAGTGGTCAGTGGGACCCAAATTGTCACATCTTGTTGCCCTCAAGTCCTTTGGACTAGTCTCAAAAGTCCTCACCTTTCTTCTCTGACACTCTTTAATTCTAGTGCATCTCTGTTAGATATATGCAAGGTGTCTCATGAAGGGCTCAGGCCCTAGGATTTGGTGAAAAGGTCAGTGCTCCCCTCTGCACTGAAATAAAAACCCTGCTGTAGGTCTAGGCTGGGAAGCCCTATCCTGTTGCTTGGTGTTGTCTTTCTTGGTGAGTTCGTGTACAGTTTGCTTCTCTTTGCATATTTGCACACTCAAGCTTTAGGGTGGTTTTTATAGGAAACAGGATGAAGGCTTCTGGCTTGAGATATTTTTTACCCTTTTCTGAGTTTGGCTGTCTAAGACCAAGATTATACACTGGATGGAGATCTTCTTTAGCATGTACCTGATGGCACAAAAGCTGTGCAGTTTGACTCTGGATGACTTTCCATTTCTTTGCCCTAGCCTCCATTCAGGCCTTTTGTATTGATGCCATGGTATTTGTGTTTCAGGAGCTGAGTGTCGCACACAAACTGGTAAAGAGTTTATGATCCTTGTCCTTTCAGGTCATCCCTGGGATGGGAGGGTCATAGCCTTCAAGTGGTGGCAAGAGAGGCAGTCTGATCTTTCATCCTTGTTTCAGAGATCCAAGAAGAAAAGAGAAGTGAGCTCTCCAGGCTTGCCCTGCATGGTGGTATCACTTGATACTGCCTTCCATCAGTTGATGCCAGAACAAAGTGGTGCTGTCTTCCTTAATTATGTTTATCTTTTGTTTTTCATCTGTTGTAAAGAAAGGTATCATGATACCCTGCCTGGGTGTATATCGCCATCAGAGGCATGTTATAATAAAATCAGTTCTGGTGCAAGGTTTTATTTGTTCACAGATATATTTGCCCTTTCTAAGAAATTATTCATACCAGATTTTGTCCTTTTCCAACATGTTGTCTTAACCATTACACTGCATTTGTTACATGTTTAGGTCTCTTAGTCTATGTGTAGTCTGCCTTCTCTGCCCATCTCCTTGGCCATGTAAGCCAGGATCACTTGGCTCCTGTCTATAAATAGGAACACGGACAGTGGGGCCTTGTGAGCCACTGCAGAAGGCAAGGAATCTGGTCCCTTGGAGCTTCTGTCTGCTGCTCTCTACCTCTGTGTTTTGGGGTGTCTAGTAGACCTTCAGGCATGTGGTATCTTGTGTGACTGGCGATTTTTTTTTTTTTTTTTTTGCCTACTAGATGATCTACCGGGACCCTGGAATAGTCCAGTCCCAGGAAGGAGTAGAGCTATGCTGGGCAAATGTGATGCGTATTGATACTTGCAGAGAGAGAGAGAGAGAGAGACTCTCCCTGCCAAGACTCTGCAGGTAACAGATTGAGGTGGGCTAGAAGGCTCCAATGCAAGCAGTACCAGGCATGGAGCTAAGCACACTTCACATTTGCCTTAATTTCTTACTCACAAATGCTCAAGTAATCTACTCAGAGACACAGCCTATCCAAGTGGTGACTCTGAAGTCCACGTTCTTATTACCACTACACCTAGTGCCCTCTGAGCTTCTTTTCCTTTCTGTTAGACCTATGTTCAATTTACCATTTCCTGTTCATTGGTTTTTGTTTCGGGGGGTGTGCATTGTTTTTTTGTTTTTGTTGTTTTGACAGTAAAGAAAAGCTTTTATTAGTGGTGAGGAAATGCCCACACATATAACAAGGCACACAAAGAAAAAGACTCTTTTCAAAGCACAAAGGAGATTTGGGAAACTGAAGCTGCTCCAGTTGAGTTTTTATTAAAAGCCCAACCAGACCTGTGTTTTTTAGCCCCCATACTATCGCTCAGATTTCAACTTAGTGAACCTGAGGCAGAGCCACTCACCCTTGCCATGTGATCAGATCCATGAAGGCTTTAGCAAATGCCAGCTCAACAGATTCTGTTCTGAATCCTCTCACACAGCTTCTCTGGGCTTAGGTCCAGAGAAAGCTTAGAAAGACCCAGACTCTTGGTTTCAGGGATAGAGACTCTGAAAGCCCTCTCTGCCTCTCTAGTGTGGCCAGCAAAGGGCAGCCCCACCACCAGCTTCAGGAAGCAGTTTTGGAGAATCAGGAAGTTTGGGATTTGATATCAAGTGATTCAAGGCTGACAGCAGCCACTGGAGAACTAAGGATCTTCCAGGGAGGGCCCGTGCACCTGATGGGTGGTGACAGATACTGCTGCCACCACCAGGCCCTTGGGGGCTGTCCCTCAGGTGGCTTGGCTGACACCATTGACATCTGTAAGATGACCAATCTAGACACTAGAGCACGCTGTTGGTGGTCCATGTCAGGTTTGGCTGAAAGCCAAGAGTTGTAGTGAGGGGATGCCAAGCTGGGAGAAGGTGCTTGGAGGGAATGGGGCAGTGGGGATTCCTCTAGTTCACTGGAAACCCTTTTTGGAAGGAGGAAAGGAAGAACAGCAGGCAGCTGGTCTAAAACCACTTTAGCTTTACTGCCATCAGCACACATGGGTCCGGAGGAGGTCAACCACTGACAGGTAGGCCGGAAGAGACAGAGAGCATTCAAAACAAATCCACCCTGTGACTCACCAATGACCTTGGTCAAAGTCAGTTCCTTAGGATCTTATTACATAGCAGCTGCCTTCTTCTGTGATGACGAGAAGGGGTAGTCAAGCAGTGTTTACCAAAATAAACAGGCCAGAACACAACTGGAGGGAAGACACAGCATACTGTGAAATGTAGTGTACCAAACCACTGGTCAAATTTAAAGTAAAGCCCCAACCCCACATGGCCCTTAACTCTTCCACAGTAAGTTGAATATATCTACCTACCTGGCCTTTGGGGGCTTTTATCTCTAGAAGGCCTCTTAGGGAAAGGAGTGTTATTTGCTCTCTCTGCTGTACTGTTGTTTTAGGAAGGGAAGCCAGAGAGACTTTAAGATTTCTCACCCTAGGAGATGAGGCTAGACTAGCCCCACCGCACATGCCCTTTCTCTCTCCCACACACAGTAAGTCACATGTACCTACCTACCTAGCCTTTGGGAGCTTTGTGTCTCTGGCCAGATGTACTCAGATGCCCTTGGTGCTGCAGAGGTTTAAACACCATATGAAGCCAGTTTGTCTTAAGTCCCTGTGTGAGGAGGATTGCTCATCACTCAGTGATCCACACCTTTATGCCTTTTTGTTGTTGTTGCTGCTCCTGTTGCTGCTGGAGTGGGTTTGAGTCCTTACACTACTTTTT